TCACTTCTTTTCCAATTCCAGTCTATGGGAGCCAGGGCTTTTTGGAGCCAGGACTAGTGGACGTAGTGATATTGCAGGTTTTTGACACTTTCAGGGCCGGTTGCTACGTCCATCTTTTATACAGTCTATGATTAAAACCTGTCGTTGTAAAAGGCTCAAAGCTGCTCTGACGTATAACCAGAGTGGGCTTCCCCTCCACGCTTTTACTACAAACTGGGAGCTGTGGAGCCTCTGTAATCCCAAACTGTTCTCCTGGAAGCGATGGCCCACTTGCGCGGCGACAGACTCCCGTCCAGGAGCTGAACTGTGGTTCTGAAGTCGTTTTAATGGACCCGTGTGACGGAGGGGAAGCACGCGGCTCTGCTTCAAGGCAAACGCAGCAATCGGAGCAGAAATAACAAATGTGGAGCAGATTTTGATTTCACCTTCGCCACCGACTCGAGGGCACTTTTGTCCTCCTTTATTTTTGGTAAATGGATTCACTAAAATAGCAACAATTCCACTTTTTATTTTGTTTTTTTAGTGCAAGTCAAATGGGGAAAACAGATGAGTTCCTACGATGCATGTCGCTTCAATCCAAATGCAAAAAACATGAAAACCTGCAAGTAAAGGTTTTTTTGGAGATTCTCTGCATCCTGCTGCAGTTTCTCAGCTGATTCAGATTCATGCCTGCACTCCAAATATGAGGCCTTTTTTTTTTTCCCATTCTTGGCACGATGCGGCCCACCAGCCCAGACAAACGGAGTTCATTCCACCAGTAATCACGGCGGACCCTCGTTAGTCCACGTTTGTCTTCCAGCTGCTGTTCTGTTGATGAAGACAAAACGGTTTGGCAAATGAAAGGTTCTACGTGTTCTATATGCTTCTATTGTTAGATTGTGTTTGGATGGATTCTTGTTCCAGCATTTGTGTGTCATTTTTTCCACATTAACGATCAGTGTGTTTGAGCTGCTTGCGTGTCAGTTAGAGCTCAGCTGGATTTGGTGGCAAAAAATATGATATTGATCAATATATTGACAGATATACAGATGACATCATTATATACTAAAGTTAGACTGAAAAGAGAAATTGATGGAGTCATTGACCATTAACTACTAGTCTGCATAAAAAAAAATGCAAACTTCAATTTTATTCAATACAGTAAACTACCCTACACTCTATATTCATTTCACGTAAAATTACATATTTCAAGCTTTTTATGTTTTGATTTTGACCAAATTAACCACAAGGTACGCGTGTAAATGAACATACTTTTCAGACTTTGTGTCTTTTAAATCCATCGTTTGATCTTAATTAATATTCTACCAAGTTGAGACACTGGGTTTTGGATTTTCATGAGCGATAAACCAAATTATAACGCTAAAAAGGCTCAAAGGAGTTCACTTTTCATGTAATAACTTTAGAATATATGAACATTTCACTTTCTTAAATAACTGATGGGAAAACTTTTTCATGATGATCTAATTTTTTTTTTGTTTTGAGTTGGCAAATGAGCACAAAGACTCCACTCGGCTGCAGAGTCCAGTTTATTTCATTCATTTATCTATTTAACCTGGTTGAATAAATAAAATAAACTCGACTCTGCAGCACCGTCTGCTCAGCACTGACGTGTTCTCTGCTACATGTGCTGCATTAATCACTGACAAACTCATTTCCAAATTACCCCGAGCACCTTTTTCCTCTAATATCTGTAAAACCTACAGCAGATAACAGATTTTCTATGTTGGTTAGTTCAGTTTAGTGTCATTTCATTTCATTTCATTTGAGGAGAATTTTCACCCAAATCTTCTGATTCGTGCCATGTTTCAGCCTCAGGTACGACTTTCCTTCGTTAAAACTAGCTCGCCGCTCAGTTTAATTGATCAAACGACCTCACTGTGTCTCTGCCTTCCCTCCAGTCTACCTGTTCGTCGGCCTCATGATGATGTACCTGCTGCTGCGGACCTTCCACAAGATGTCCGACCTGCACGGCCTCACCTCCTTCCTGCAGCTGCCCCGCTGCGAGGAGTCTGACGTGGACGAGGACCGCGAGCCCATCGTGGACCGGGAAGACCGGACGCCGCCTCAGCCGACGGAGAAAGCCGCCAGCAGACCCCTGGACCCGGGATCGCAGCCGTCGTACAACACCATCAACAAGGGCTGAAGAAGCTCTGCCGGTGGGCTGAATCTTCATTTTTCCATCCAGAGAGGAGGCGGCGGCGGCGTAGTAGTAATAATAATAATAATAATAATAACGAGGAATTAAGATTCAGTCCTATGAGGGAGAAACATCAAACTGTCCTGGTGGGTTGTCGCACCACTTTCTGCACATATATATACATAAAAAGGACCAAACTAACGAGAAACACGCACAGATGTTCTGAGTCCTCTTCAACAGCTTCAGGATGAAGAGCTCAAACCAAAACCAAAAACTTTTTGTTTTCCTGTCACGTTGCTGTTCGGACTAACAAACGTCGTCTTCATGTGCTCCAAACTAAACCTTTTTTTTACACCTTTGAGTGCCTTCGTATTCCTGGATAAAATCCCTCCAGACTGTTTGCCATCAAGATTTTAGCGAGAAATGACCTTTGTGCAGCTTTAACCGTTTCCTCAAATGTGGATTTCTGCCGAACAACAGGGGCGTCACTCACCTGGGGCGTGTTTTTTTCTAAATTTATCAGACCTCACGAGTTAAAATAGCAGCTTTGAGACGCACCAAACCCACATTCGAGCACCGTTTTCCTCCTGCGTTGTGGTGCTGCCCCCTGGTGTCCGTGTGTGGTAGTGCAGTTTCCAGAAACAGCAGCGAATAGGGTAAAAGGGTTTAAATGAAGAGAAGCAAGTGTTGTTGTTTTTTTTGTGGTAATCGAGGGCGTGATTCATTTTAATGGGAAACCAAACACAGCCTGCTCTGTGTCCGTTACAACATCTGGATTTCTTCTTACTTGAAATGCACTTTAATGGCAAAACCGAGGCGAACATTGAAATTAACATTATATCTGATACTGTAAAAACAAAAGTCTGTCTGTGTTTGTGTGTGTGTGTCGTCGTTGTGCCTTGACAATCATACAATAAAGAGAAACTTGTATTATATCCTCACGTTCACGTCGTTCTTGTGTCCAGGCAGATAGTCTGTGCGATAAAATGTAAATTTGCATGCGTTTTAAAACACGTTTCTACGTAGAACTTGTCGATATTTAAAACTCAGCGAGGTGGGCTGCGTTGTGTTCATCAAATGCTGCATCGGTTTCTCCAGGATAACGTGTGTTTTTTTAGTGGCATAGTTTCATATTTGTACTGTGTGAACTATCGATGAAGCTGTGTGTTTGTATTATTTGTAGGTTTCTAAACAGGTGTTGTCCTGTGCACCTGGATTAGTGTTTAGTTTTCCATCTACAGAGTCAGGGCTGTGTTCAAACACCAGAGCAGACCGCTGGTGAAGAGATTTAGTGAATCTGATCAGAAGTATGAGTTAGCATCACCTTAAAATGTATTTCACAACCTCAGATACCTTCATGATTCTCAAAATACAGCAGAAAAGCTTATCATCAGAGTCTTAAATGAAAATACAGCAACTAAAGTGCAGCTTGTGTGCATTTTTTTTGGCACTATTTCATCAATCTTCTTCTCTAGTAAAATGTCCTCTAAGAAGTATTTAACAATGAAAACAAAGCTCGTTGTTCTTTATTCATTTTATTGAAAGCATTGAACAGGTAAACAAATGTTTTCATTAAAAAAAAGTCACATAATATATGAGCATTGTGCCCTGCATTTTTAAAACATAACCATTAAAGTATTCGTAGAGGAAAACAAAATAAACTTACTGCCATGATGGTGTATCCGACACCATTAGTGATTTGTCCGTGTGGTTTCACATTAAATTACACATCTTGTTCTCAGAATATGCCGTTTGTAAAAAGTTTGAAACCTCCGTTTGCATAAAAGGCGACTTTCATCCACAAACCAGATATAAATGTGCAAAAACCAGACCAACAGGCGTGTGTTGGTTTTAAATGCTGGTCTGCAGCCGGCAAAGTTTAAAACATCTGCTACGTTTTTTAAAAAAACGACAACGGAACAACGGTCGGGTTTCACTTTGTGCTCAGAAGGAACAATATCTCACCTGTAATGTCACTCCTGAATAAATAGGTAACACTCGATCCTTACAAATTATTGACATAGTGCAATACTGTAAACGGAAACCAGACGAAACACGTGACGCACGTTAAAACAAGCTGGTGGACGAATCGCTCGCAGGGCGGACTGCGGCGGATTCAATCAGCCAATGTGGCTCAAGGCACGACGCCCACCCATCGGTACAACAGAAGCTGCTGCATAGTGGTGGAGCCGACGGGACGAAACTCTGTGGCGTCGTCGCGTTCAAGCTCGTGAGGATGTTTTGTGTACAATCACAGTACTGTAGAGGCTCTTAGCGTCCGCTGACAGACATGAAACTGTGCAGGGAGCCGTTCAGAACGGACACCTGGCACTGCGTTTCCTGTCAGAGGAAACCTTTCACACAAAAACTACTTCTAGTTTCACTTGTTTCCGCCTTTAGAATAAGACGGCGTTTGGCAATGAAACACAAGTATTGGTTCTTATAAATATTTTCTTCTGGCCAGACCACCTGACATAAATACAAAAATGTTTGGCAGCACCTTTCCTCGGCGCTCCCACTGTTTGAAACTCTGACCTCAGCATCCACCGTCATTCCTTCTCCTACAACTCTTTGATAAATATGAAATTAAGGCATGTCTTCACAGAAGATTGGATCCATAACATTAGTGTTTCATACGTTCTGCTTCCAACACCTGCTTCAATCACATTCTCAGATCTCTCATTTCACACAGAATTTGTCAGCCATAAGTTCAGCCCACTGCAGAAATTAGTAAACGGCTCGTTTTTTTACGTCGTCCAGACCCCCTAATTCAGGAAGTCCAGTACAAATGCAGGTTAACTGAAGCTGTGACACATTTCGGAGCCACGCTGCTGAGGCACCACACCTGATAATTGCCTGTAAACTTTTTTTTTTGCTGAATAAACCATGTTGTGTAAACCCGGTCCCTCCCGCCATTCGCTCCAATTAGCTGAGTCACACTGACAGTAAAGCGCCGCTCATTGGTTCATGATCCGCTGAGTCACTGCTTAGTCATCAAAAATACAGCGGCTGCGACCCACGCAGCTTTAACTGTGACTCCACCAAAACCATTAGTTTTTCACTAAAAGCTGCACGAGACTTCTCCGTCTTTTCCCCACATCTCCAAATCTGATAATGCACGATTTCTCAGAGCAGTTTATAAAAACAGTCATTGTGCTCGACGGTCCGACGCAAATGTTCAGTCTGTGTCCACTCACTCAGTTCAGATTAGGATGGAGTTTGAGGTAATCAGGACTCCACCAGGATCTCCATCAGGTTCTCCAGCTCAAATCCGTCTCTCACTAGATTCTGAGAGGACATCGGCAAGGAGAGGGCGGACGAGGAAGAGGAAGATGAAGGGCTGAAGGAGGAGAACGACGGCAGGCACTTCAGGCTCGGGTTGAAAGACAAGGAGCTGGGATGCGAGGAGGCCAAGGGGGGGGAGAAGGGCGGCAGGAACTGGAGGAAATCATCCCCAGCTTGGTATCCGTCTCCGCCGTTCCTCAGCACCCCCAGGTCCCTCTCCAGCAGGGACATGTCTATGTCCTGGAGCAGCTCCTCCATGGTGAGATCACTGAGGTAGCTGGACCTCATCAGCTCGGCGCTGTTGTCTCCGACCCGGCACTGGTCCTGCTGCTCCCAGCTCTGGTCTCGGACCCCCTGCTTCTCCCACGACACGCCTCCATCGAAGGACCCCGGCAGGTTCTCCAAGGACCTGAGAGGCGTCCGCGGAGCCGCCTGAGGGCTCCCGTCGATGGTCGACTCCAGTGCCGAGAGAATGGAGGCAATGGCAGCCGACAGGGAGAGATCAGAATCTGGGGACATGGAGCCCCATTCCTCATCTTCCTCCTCTACACTCATGGGGACGTTTGATTGACTCGAGTGGCACGCTGGAGACGTACCTGCAGCACAATTTGACGAGTAGTTTAAAGACGGCATCGGGTAGCTGATAGGACCCAAGTGGTTGCCGTGAACCGTTCCCACACAGTTGTATTGTCCAGTGGAAACGCCCTCCTGCTGTTTCTGTTGGAGTGCAGATGAGGAGCTAAAAGGAGGCTGCTGCTGCTGCTGCTGCGCTGCCGCCTCCTCGACTGCAGATGGCAACCCGCAAGCCTCCAGGCTGACCTGCCGCAGAGTGTTGGCGATCAGAACTGACCTCCGCAGGCTGGGCTCCACTAACTCCTGGCTGCGCTGATACTTGCTCAGGGAAACCGAGAACACAAACTGCCGCTGGGTCTCCCAGTTGGGACTGGTTCTGTCTGAAACGTCCTCGTCGTCTAGCGGGAATTTACGCTTCTGGCCCCTCGGGATCATCCTTAAACTGCAAAGAAATGAATAAACCGTTAATTTTTACTTTATTTTACATAGTGCTGTGTCCAGACATTACACTGAGTTTTTACTACTTTAGAATGTATTTATTTATGTGGGAGTTGGTGCACAACAGCACAGATAGTCCAGAAGTTGCTGATTTCCTTTTGGGATTCATAAAGTTTGTACCTCATCCTAATCAGGGTATAATCTAACTGACAGGAGACTTTACAAACAGAATACAGAAGAACAGAGTGATAAAGTGATATGCACTGATTAGACTAGATGACCAAGAACTCCTTTGTCCCCCGAAACATCAAACTGGTCAACTCTGAGCTGGGGAGGAGGAGGAGCAGCAAGTGGGGAGAGGAGGGGTGAGGACATTGGGGTGAGATAGAGCATCATGCTCTATCACCGGACTGTGTGCAATATTTTGGCACTTTGGTACTGTTAGTGTTTCCATTGTTATTATTATTATTATTATTATTTTTACTAATGTTGTGTTGCTGCTAGTACAACAGTTTACCTGAGGTACCCTACCAAAGGGATCAATAAAGTTCTATCTAATCTAATTCAATAAATTAACAGGAAGAAAACTAAGGATTTACAAGAAACAGGAGGACTTTCTTGCTTATTATCCAAAAAAACACCTGAAACGTTTAAAGGTAAACACGTGACTAAGGCACAGGTAAGACAACGCCGGTGTTTAAATGTATTTAAATGGACTTGCTGCTTACTTTTTTTTTCTTTAAAGAACTGACAAAGAGCGTTTAGATAATGCTGTAAAACTAAACCAACAGTGTTTTCTGAATCGAGCTTTAATGGAGGTTTTGCGCCCGAGTCGCCAGCAGCTCATTTCATATGCAGGATGGGGGTTGTAACGTTGGCTTCACCGTGGAGGAGGGAAAAAACTCTCTCCGCCGAAAAGACAGAGTAAATCAACTTACAGTGACACGAATTTACTCGATTAAAGAAGGTTAAAAAAAACAAAAAACAAAAGCATCGTAGCAAATCTGCCGAGCTACACGCTAAAGTTTAAACATTCACAGAAAGTCAGACATGAAGCAAACCGACCTGTTGAATCACTTCCCGTCTCTCCTTCGGTGATCGCTGTTTTTTTTCTTCTTTTCTTTTCTTTCTTTCTTCCTCCTTTTCGGCTCAACGAAGCAATTTACCGTCAAACTATTTTTACTCAGGAATTAAATTAAGCGATTAAATAACGGTTCAAGACGGCTATTTCGCTTTAAGTCTAGCCGAGTTGTGCTAACCGGCTCGCTCCTCTCCCGCCTGTGATTTGAGTTTTACGCCAATGAGCTCACAGTTGGAGACCGGAAGTAGAAAGGCATCATGGGTAATGGAGTTTAGCTGCGTTACATTCCATCACAGGGTTTTTCTATTTAAATAAAAGCTTTAAATACGCGGTAAGTTACTTGTTTAGCAACGATAACATAAATATTATTTTTTAAATAAAATACAAACGTGTAATTTAACCCATACCGTCATTATAACCGCTCAAACCAGACAGTTTGTTATTATGTAATTTGCATAGCACTAATTCCTAAATGATTACATCACCGACAGAAAAAAGGGATTTCCGTCCCTGTATTGATTTTTTTTTTTTTAGTACAAATGCGTGATTAAAAATAGCAGTACAAGTTTTACTGGATGAGGTTTCTAATCAGTTAAATACTTCTAAAAAAAAAAAAAAAAATCGATAAACGAAAACAAAACGTGCATATTTTACGAGCAGTTTCAAAATAATAACGAAACAAAAACAGAGCTGCGCAAGAAAATAAAAACAACTGGATGCCACACGTACACAGCGGAGGTAATTTTAACTGAAGTGAAACGCGGTTGTCCTTATGTTTCAAGCAGAGGAGACTTGATATTTACCTGAAAGCAGCAGCAGCAGCAGCCAAACGGGAGTCAAAAAAAAAAAACCGTTCAGTGAACTCGACCTGCCCTGTCGTAAATCAACAACATGCCAGAGTCTGCGGTTTCAGTTTTTAATTCTATCATCTGACTTGAAACCACATGAAGTACAGCGAGTCCGGTTTGAAAAAAACATCCCAAACTCCTCCTCTGCTGCCCGGAAACAGTCAAGTCAACGAGAAGCACGCGGACTTCCTGCAGCTTCCTTCAAAATAAAGCAATACTTGGCGCGCTTCTGCACTGTTGCGTTGACATTTTCTGAATGCCGCTATTTTGAAAATAAGTCAGCTGTAATGTAAAATACGGGCTTTTATTAAGTAATAACGACTGGAACTGCTGTGTTCTGTAAAATGAGGGCAACTGTGTGCAACTCTTCCACTCAAACCCTGCATGACCTCCACATGTCATCCTTTTATTTTGGAAGGCAGAAGTCACCGGGTTCTGCTGATATGTTCGTGAGCTTGACAGCGTTCAGTCAGAGGGAGTTGCACAACAGCTACACATGCTGCTCATCTGACTGACTGCTCGTCCTTTTACACAAGACACGCTCACATGAGGAGAAGTGTAGCAGCACTAACCACTATTACATCCTGCCACACTTCACCTGCTGCAGCGTAAATGACATTTCTAGATATTTATTGCCAATTTCTTTAAAATCTTCTATGTTTATTTATTCAACAACAAATAAAAAAGTCTCATGTTATAGCAGTGTTACCTTTTCATGCAGGTGTACTTTCCCCCCCTATTCGACATCAGCTACTTTTCATTTCAAGAGATTTTGAAGAAATTAATCACTGTTATGGTTCATTTTCAGAGTCATTTTTGGACAGGTGTTCTCACCTTTGGCCATGCAGTGAAACCCCGTCCCTTGCGTCCCTGCACTGGGACACTCTGACCATGTCATGGTCCATCTGATTCCCACGTACAGGCAGAAACTAACATCTGCAAAGCTTGTTGGGAAAACTGTGAGGAAATGGACCACCGAGGCAAAGCAGGAACTACCAGTCTGGTTTGACTGGACAGACTGGAGTGTTTTTGAAGCTGCCAACAACAACCTGGATGACCCGACAGACACTGTGACTGCTTACATCAGTTTCTGTGAGGACATGTGTGTGCCAACCAGAACCTTCAGGACCTTCAACAACAGCAAGCCATGGTTCACCAGCAAACTGTGACAGCTCCGCCATGCCAAGGAGGAGGCTTACAGGAGTAGGGATAGAGACCTGTTTAAGAAGGCCAGAAACACACTGAGCAAAGAGATCAGAGTGGCTGAGAGGAGCTGCTCTGAGAACCAGAAGAACCGGTTCTGAGCTAACGACCCTGCTTCAGTGTGGAGAGGCCTTCAACACATCACCAACAGGAGATCATCCCCCCTGCTGAGGCAAATAAAGACCTGGCCAACGACCTCAGCTCCTTCTGCTGCCTGTTTGAGAGGGACACATTCACACCTCACACCCTCCACAGCCCACCTCTCATCCATAACACAACCACACCTACAAGCCCTGTCACACCTCAGACTGCACCCCAAACTGCCCCTCCCGCCCGTCACACTCACAGTGCATGAAGGAAGCACCAGGACCAGACGGAGTGTCTCCCTCCTGTCTGAAAGCCTGTGCTGACCAGCTGGCTCCAGTCTTCACCAGGACTCTTTAACAGGTCCCTGGAACAATGTGAAGTTCCCTCTACCTTCAAACATTCCACAATCATACCCAAGAAACCCTCCATCTCAGGACTGAATGCCTACAGACCAGTGGCTCTGACATCTGTGGTCATGAAGTCATTTGAGAGACTGGTGTTGAGCCACCTGAGGTCCATAGCAGGTCCTCTGCTGGAGCCCCTGCAGTTTGGCTGTCGGGCAAACAGGTCAGCGGATGATGCAGTCAGTCTGGGGCTGCACTACATCCTGCAACATCTCGATGGCCCTGGGAGTTGCGCAAGGATCCTGTTTATGGACTTCAGCTCGGATTTCAACACCATCACCCCTGGAATCCTCTCCACCCAACTCTCCCTCCTCAATGTGTCTCCATCCATCTGTCAGTGGATCACCAGCTTCCTGACAGACAGGAGTCAGCAGGTGAGGATGGGAGACATCATCTCTTCAACCTGGACTGTCAGCACTGGCGCCCCCCAGGGGTGTGTCCTGGCTCCACTTCTCTTCTCCCTCTACACCAGGGGCGTCCAATCCTGGTCCTGGAGGGCCACAGTCCTGCATGTTTTAGATGTTTCCCTTCTTCCAACACACCTGATTCAAATGATCAGGATCGTTATCAGGCTTCTGCAGAGCTTGATGATGAGCTGATCATTTCATGTTGGAAGAGAGAAACATCTAAAACATTCAGGATAGGGGCTCTCAAGGACCAGGACTGGACACCCCTGCTCTACACCAGCGACTGCACCTCCAAGCACCCAGCAGTCAAACTCTTGAAGTTTGCAGACGACGCTACACTCATCAGCCTGATCCAGTCTGTATATCGGCAGGAGGTTGAGCGGCTGGTGTTCTGGTGCAGCCAGAACATCCTGGAGCTGAACAAGCTCCAGACTGTGGAGATGAGAGTGGACTTCAGGAGACAGCCCTCACCACTACTCCCCCTCTCCATCAGCAGCAGCCCTGTATCAGCTGTAGAGGCCTTCAAGCTCCTGGGGACGACAATCACCCAGGACCTGAAGTGGGAGAAGAACATCCGCTGCATCCTCAGAAAGGCTCAGCAGAGGATGGACTTCCTGTAACAGCTGAGGAGACACGGTCTGCCACAGGAGCTGCTGATTCAGCTCTACACCGCCGTCATTGAAGCTGTCCTGTGCAGCTCCATCACTGTGTGGTTTGGAGCAGCCACACTGCAGGACAGAAACAGTCAGAGCAGCCGAGAAGATCACCGGAGCCCCCCATGCCCTCCATCGTCCTGCAGGTGATGGCCAAACTGTACTTCTAGTAAAACACGGAGCAGCTTTTGAATTGTGGTTGAAAAGAATAATTTAAAAAAATAAAATAAAAACTGTCCTGAACAAATTGGAGCCCTTTGCTGATGAGCAGTGAAATCCAAACACCTGTCACAGAAAACACCTGATGGCAGTGATTGGCTCAAAGAGTTGTTTAACTAAATATTAGTTTATGGGTCCCATCGGGCTTGTTTTTTTTATATTTCTGTTGAACCACAATTCAGAAGCAACGTCATGATGTTCATTACATTTTTATTTAGTATCACTTTTGTCAATTTCAACTTATTTCAGTTGTTTTTTTTCTCCTTCTTTAATGGTGATACATCTGAGGATGACTGTGTGTATATATATATATATTTAGGGCTGCAAGGTGGCGCAGTTGGTAGCAAGAAGGTCGCTGGTTCACGTCCCGGTGAGGACACCTGGGATCTTTCTGCGTGGAGTCTCCATGTTCTCCCCGTGCAGCGTGGGTTCTCTCCGGGTTCTCCGGCTTCCTCCCACACAGTCCAAAGACATGTTGAGGTTAATTGGTGATTCTAAATTGTCCGTAGGTGTGAATGTGAGTGTGCTTGGTTGTCTGTCTCTAAGTGTAGCCCTGTGATAGACTGGTTACCTGTCCAGGTGAACCTGCCTTCACCCTGAGTCAGCTGGGATAGACTCCAGCCCCCCCCCGCGACCCTCGTGAGGATAAAGCGGTGTATAGATGATGGATGGATGTAGTTGTAGATGAATGTGTGGACACAGATGCTGCAAACAACAAACAACCTGCAGCTTTACGTTCACTCACTTTATTCTTTCAGCACAATCTTTTGTACAACTTTCCACTTTTTCGTACAAAAGTCTTGTTAATAACAGCTTTAAAAATGTGTTGAAAACTGTATCACAGGAAACAAAACATCAGCATGTAAAGCAGCAGCGGCGGTGCAGGTTTTTAAAATGTCTTCAGCAGAATTAGTAGAAAAATCCAGCAGGAAGCAGAAGCTGCTCAATCAGAATCACTAAAAGGGAAAACGGCTCAGATGGTTCATAAAGAAAACAACACTGTACGTAGTTTGCATGTAAATCTTTCCTTCATTTATCAATCAGCACTCGGTCGCGGGTCAGAATCACTGGTAGTCTCCCCACACTCCCACAGTCTTGCCGTCCCACTCGGTGGTGGACAGACACTTGACGAAGAAATGTCCGAGGTCGTGTTTGGAGATGGCTCTTCCCTTCAGCATGTTCTCCGCCGACATGTAGCGCTCCGTCAGCGGCAGGTCGCCTGCAGGGAACCGATAAGACATTAATGCTCTCGCTCAGTTGGTAGGAAAGAGACACGGGTCTCAAAGGAGTCATGAAAAGACGGTTCGAACCCAACATCAAGAACACAAACGCAAGACACGCTGGGTTTTAAATACTCGACTTACACACATAATACGACTTTATATGCAGCAAAAACATTACAAATAAACATCTAGAAGGGCAGAACATGATGTAACGAACAAACCAGCATGTTGTCCAATAAAAAATACGTCTAATTGATTCGAATAATGTTCAATAAGTTCCTCCTGGAGAGTTGAATAAAAAGGAAATTTAAACTATAAAACAATGTGAGAAAATGTACAAAAAAGAAAAGGGCTGCTTGTTTGGGTTTCTTGAGATGTAAATAAGCATCAAGCTTTAAGCATTTTTCGCCATTTTGTGTGATTTTTTTTCTTCTTTTTGTCGTTTTTATGGTGTCGTGGCATGTCGGAAATAAATAAATGTATGAATGAGGCAGAAAACCAGCAGAATATAACAGTAAATATCATTAAAATGTTTAAAACTAACATCAAAACCTGATTAATTCAAACTTCGTTAAAGCAAACAAGGAGAATTTATCATTTGTAAAATTGTCTGCTTCACTATTAAAGACCTGTATTAGTGATAAAGACTAATTAGACACAAGTAACGGCTAAATTAAGTTCTTTTAATCCATTTTTAAGCCCCCTAACATTTAAATAATCGAATGCAGAGACTTTACTCAATGCATTTTTCCCCCCTAAAGTAGTTTTATGAAGTAAAACAACTATTTAAAAAACGTTTTCTATCATAAATGGCTGGTTATTAGTCAGCAAATTTAAATAATGTCCTGAATCTGTTCATCCAGACAAAATTTCACTCATTTATCTTCAGCTTTCTTTGTTCCAATCAAACAAACTCGACAGAAATAAACTTCAGCTGCAACGAGAGCTCCGTGGAGGGTTTGTCACGTCCCACTGACCTCCGATGTGAGGAGGCATCACGGCCACGTAGTCCAGCCCCGACGTCTTCAGCACCGCGTGCATCCGCTCGTGGTCCTCGGTGACGGGAATCAGACGAGGAGGGACTTTGGATCGATCCCACAGGAGGAAGGCTGGGAGGGACGAGGACGGAGATGCAGAGTTTAACGGGACGAGGAGAGAAGATGAAGAGGCAAGAAACAGAAACACACGTCCAGCTGTCTGTCTTGATGCATTTTATTGGCTTTAATTGGCTTTTACGATCAATCTAAGACGAAAAAAATGATTAAAACCTGTCAAACAAAGTCTTAGAGACCAACAAACAAACTCTCTTCAACCATAAAACCCCAAACTTTAACCATTTCTCCCACTTTGTCACCCTTTCCCCCCAGACTAAGTCGTACCTGACATGCAGCCGACCACTTTGCGGATCCCTCGAGCCTTCATGGCGTCCAGGATGTTCTTGGTGCCTTCAGACATCATGGTGGTTGGACCTGAGGAGCACAAGTCAGACCAGGGATGAAACTAACCAAAGATGACACACTGAACGTTTGGTTTATTCTGTTACAGGAGAAAATGAAAACGTAGGACATTGAATCTAAAGGAACTTTGGATCTTTTAAAACCCATACGAGAGATTTCCTGGCATCTACAATAATGCAAATTCTTGATCTTGTTGCTGATATCTAGCTTTTATTTTACTTATATTGTTGCGTGTTGTTTGTTTTTAATTGTCTCGGCTTCCCTTCAAAAAGACGACCAGGTTGAATAAAGGCTGAATTTTAAAAAATGAGAATAAAATAAGAAATAAACTTTAACTAGAGTCCATTGTTAGTAAACGCAGTTATTATGAAGTAGATTTAAGCAAATTTCTGTTAAAGCGTTAATTTTTTAAAAATAATAAAAGGTAATATTTGCAAATATTTAAAGATTAACTCATTTGTTCTAAAGCAGAACATCACAAATCTGTTATAGGTGAGATCCAATGCAGTCCTATCTGCTGCTAAAGTCTCACAGCGACCTCTAGTGGAAGTCTCACGTCATTACAACATTTTAAAGAAACTACAATTTAAAAAACTACAATCCTCCTTGTGTAAGCTGAGCGTGGCCGCTTATGCAACTTTAGCATTCAAGGTGAGAAAAATTGTGTAATGGAAGCAACAACAACAACAACAATTAATGACTCCAAGAGGGCAGAAAGTGTGTCAGCAGGAAACAGAAACTGATGAATCGAGGATGTAGAAACTAAATTGTGCCTTCAATTCAGAGCTGACAGACACATCACAGACGTTTTCTTTCCGTATGTCGTAGCTTCAGTTTGAACTCACTGAGGTCGTTCCTGGTGCCCAGGATGATGACGACGGCGTCTTGGCCCTCCATCGTCTTCTTCACGTCGTCCTTGTTGAGGACGTCGCCCACCACCACTCTGGAGGCCTTGTGGTCTGCAGGCAGCTTGGCGGGATCTCGCACCAACACCGTCACGTTGTATCCTGACCGAGGAAACGCAGGGATTAAACTTCTTCTCCTGAATAAGCCACACATGTGCCGTGTCTGTAATGCAGCTTTGTGTCCCTGCAGGTTGGAGGCATCTCTCTGGTTTTGATAACCCTCAACCTCGTGGAACGCTGGAAGAGTGGCCTCCAGCTCATCACTAGCAGACAGACAGGGTTTGTTTGGGTGACAACAACCTGTCACTTCCACCTGTTGGGGTTGTTTTGTGCACAAACTCGGCCTAAATCCAGCAGCATGATTTACTTTGTCTTCTCCACAGGCTCCTACAATGAGTTCCTTATCTGGCTGCAGAGATCCAGCCCGACTGCGAGGCCCAGATAGTGAACAGCTTCTCCACTATCAGCTCCCTCACAGGCTGCTGTGACTCAGCGAAACGCCGGCCTGTAACGGCTACCGTGACTCAACAGTTTTGTGCACCGTGCTGAGCGGGAGGAGAGGAAACGAAAACGCTGCTTCATCAAGTGAATCATGTGTGAGTGATTTTATACGAGTGACCACAGTGGACACTCACTGAAGATTGCAGGGATCGACGGTTTAAGCCTCATTTAAATGTGAATCTACGAATAAATGGTGACTAAATCTGAAGTAAACTCGAGTTTAAAAGGTTCCAGCACTGAAACCTGTTGACAGAAAACATCCCATGAGATCTGCGAGAATCTTAAAATGCATTAAATTGAGTAATTCAACTGGATAACAATGAGAAAATCAAATATCACAAAAGTTTCTAACCAGACATTTCGTGTTTACATGTTGCTGCAGGAGCAGAAATACGGTTTTCATTTCAAATTGTGAATAATTAACTTTAAAAATACATATATTAAAGATTTCTGTTGCCATCAATAATCTGAGGTGAAACTTTCTGATTGTTTATTGGACAAATTAATCACATGAGCTCAAGTTTATCCCAAACTGTGACCTTTGTATAGGTGGTCATGTAACTAAACTGTTATCTGGTTGGATTTTAGAGCAAATAAATAACCGACCAGTGGATCAAAACTTTGGATAAAATACTAAAAACTTATTTCTTCTGTTCTGCAAACTCCAGTTTAATACAGTTATTATGTAAAGTCTCTGTTAGGATCATTAAAGGACTCCTATGCAGACATTTTAGCCACACACACACTGTTCTACTCTGTTCTGGTTTTATTCCCGGTGCTCACCTGCGGTCACCGCCTGCGGCAGCGTCGCCAGCCCGGTCATTCCCGTGGCTCCAAATATCGCGACGTTTTTTATGGAGTCCGACATGATTGCGTGGATGAAGCGGGATCCTCGACACGGCAGCAGCTCGTCGGTTGAAGAGTTTTCGGCGACGCTGAAAGTCACTTAAAAATCATTTGACATGTGGAAGAAACGCCTCTTTGCTGCCGCAGCGCAGCGTGACTCCTCCTCTGAGCGCGTTAAAGGAACCTGCGGCGGCTGCACACGGTCTGAGCACAGACACACACACCTGGTGGATTTTAATACAAGTTGCATCCAAATAATGGGGGACACACACCGAGCACGTGGTCTGGTGGGGGTTCAGTCTCAAACGCCAGATTTCCTGCTTTCTGGTGAATTTTTACGCACCGCTTTGTGCCTTTTCTGCACCAGTTCTCGCTGTAAACGTCATTGTTTGTGTAAAAGAAAACACAAAAATGTTCTTAATCATGAGTACAGATTTCATTAAACCATTGGTGGGACACATTAAGTGCAAGGGTTGCTGGTTTCTGGGCATCAAACACTTACTGGTGAATTTTTACGCACCGCTTTGTGCCTTTTGTGCGTCAGTTCACACCGATAATGTCCTGGTGTAAAAGAAAACACAAACATCAGCGACCAGGTGACTCCTAGCATGCATGGGTGCAAGTTTCATTTAAACATTGATGGAATACGTTGAGTGCAGGATTTGTTTTATTTGTGTTTTTTTTTAACGTCAAACACCACATTTCCTGCATTCTGGTGAATGTTTACGCACCAGTTTGTACCTTTTGTGCGCGAAGTCATACTAAAAATGTAATTCTTTGTGTAAAAGAAAACATAAATGTCCGACACCAGGTGACTCTAACCATCTGTGTGTTCAGGTTTCATTGATGGGACACATTCAGTGCAGGATTTATTTTATTATTATTATTATTATTTAACGTTAAACGCTTCTGGTGGATTTTTACGCACCGCTTTGTGCCTTTTCTGTATTAATTATCGCTGCAAATGACATTGTTTGTGTAAAAGAAAACACAGGTTCCATTTAAACATCGGTGGGACACATTAAGTGTAAGAGTTGTTGGGTTTTTGAGCATCAAACACTTAATTTCCTGCATTCTGGTGGATTTTTACGCACCGATTTGTGCCTTTTCTTCATCACTTTATGCCGGAAATGTCTCTGTTTAGGCACCAGGTTACACTTTAACTTACAAAGCAATATAATGCAGTCATTTTGTACCGATTTTAAATATTTACTCTCCTGTTGCCCTCCGGGGACATTAAAGATTTTCAAAGTCAAAGTAGATCAGTTTTTCTGGTTTAATTTGATCCCTGCTGCACGTTTAGCCTCAAAGAAAACAACACAATTAATGCATCAGTGGTTCTGAATTATGACGACTCAAAAGAAGTTCTGTTCAACCAACCAACTGTATAAATGAATGTTTGTACCTGTAGTTTTTGCACAATTTGCTGTTACTGTACATATGCTCTCCTTTTTGTTTTATACAGATAAAACCACTGAAAAAATATAAATTTACACTTTAAAAAAAACAGAAAATAACAAATAAAATCAGAAAAAAGTTCAGTAGGTTACTGTCCACCATAAAAACAAAACAAACAAACAAACAAACAAAACGGCCAAACCTGTAAATAAAAAAGAAAAATTACATTAACTGTTTTTTTTTTTTTTTTTTAAAGAAGAAAGAAAGAAGAAAAGCCAAAACTGCAAATAATAGACTAGAAATACTTCATTAATCTCCAAGGGGAAATGTGGAATGGGAAATGTTACTGCACAAAGATAAAGTTACCACCACCATAAATACAGATAAATAAACAAAAATAAACAATAAGAAATATACAAAAATGTCCAATAAATGTAATACGTCAAGTAGAAAAGCCCCGTGTGGAGTGCAAACAGTGATATGATGATAATGTCCAAAACCTGCATTTCTACAAATAATAAATGTACTTTCAGGTTATTTTATGACTATTATATGATGAGATCCAAACTCCTGCGTTCTCTTTCTGACATTTAAAGGATGTAAATACGCGGTTTGGTTACCGTGAAGCACCGCTGAGTGTCTGGATGTCTGTTGTCTATCTGCTGTGTGAAAGGATTTAAAATGTAGAGAAGAAGTCAAACTAGATCTTTGATATCCACAGACTGGACCTGCACTGTGGTCAGTGGGCGCAAATTCTTAGAAAGTCGTCCTGCATCTCCTCAGAGCTGCACTTCATCTACTCTCCTTCTGGTCCGTAATAAAAAACTGCAGATTTATTCCAGACCGTCTACAGCAGGTCACTCAGGTTGTTATAATCAAACATTAACCAGACAGAAATGACCGTAACCTGAAAAGCAAAGTGTGATGTAACCCTGCTGGGCGTCATAAAACAGCTGCAGAGGGCCAAAGCTCAGCAGGTTCTTCATCCAGTCAAAGTATGTTTCTCATTTGAGGTCTTAACTTGAGGTCCAGACTCCTCCAAAGAACCTCGAACCAAGTGAAGCGTTGGCGGTCGTTCCCACGCCGCTGCAGCCTCGTGCAGGACACTGACCCACACACGTGTAATCTGAGCTGGATGTGAACGTTATTCACCCCCGTTAAAGCTCTGAAAGTGGATTTAAAATGTCTTTTCATGCAGTTTGTAAATGTCAAGGTCACTTTTGTGTTTGTGCTCCAAGCACTTGGAGCAAAAGGAGCTTCAGCTTTTAGCAAAACATTCCAACATTTTGTCCAGAACTTTGAGCTGTTTCACCGTAACGTTTAGAGACTGGGAAGGACTAAAGTCTGGCCACGAGCTCGTTAAAGGGACGTGTCACGACAGGAGTGGTCTGGTGAGGTAATACAAAGGTGCAGAAGAAAAGATTAGAATCAAATGTCAGAATCTGAGGATTAAAAAACTGTCAAAACAAAAATTGATGATGGATTCTCAAGAAATAGCAGTTTGAAGATTATGCTTATTTTCACCAAAATAACGCGATTTTGAGGTTTTATTTTTAAAAAATGAGGTAAATTTTGCACCAAAAACAGCATTTCAGACATGAAACAGATGTTTTTAAGGGCTACTAGGTGTAAATACCCCCAAACGTGTTCGACTGGCTCTAGTTCAGAGGCGTTACAGACTAACTCAAACCACTAACAGTGTTTTAATCCTCAGATCCTGACATTTCATTTGGCGCTCATCTTATTCTTGCACGTTTTTATCACCTTAACACTTCTCCAGACCTGTGAGCGTCATTTAAACTGACAATCAAACAAGCATAACCTTCAACTTTACTGGTTTTCTTTTACTGAATTGAGCTTAATCAATACGAGTCCTGATGGTTTCCTTTGAAGTCAAACCTGCATAATTAAATGATAAAGTGACAAAAGCAGTTTACTGTTTGGCCTGCACTGATTCAGCACACAGGAAAAAGCTTCACTTTATACTCAGTTTTTCATTTTTTTACTAGTGTTTTAAATCTGTTTTTAACATCCATTTCTGGCTTTTGTCCAAACTTGAAAGTGCTTACAGTGTAAAAAGGGTGCTAGAAAAAAATAAAAGAAGTAAACAGCAAATATTTAAATACAGAAAAAATTTGCCACCACACATTGTAAAGGAACTAATATACATCCTTATGACATTATGTACAGTTTTACAGTCAACCTGTGAGTCATTTTAACTAGTACTTTTCCTTTTACTCAATATTTACTAATATTATAATTAATCAAAACGGCAAATTTGGAAAATATCAATTAAAGTTATTTACCATTTTTCAATTAATACATAATTTTTCTTTTTAAAAAACAGAATATCTGAAAAATATATATATATTTTGCAATTTTTATTTATTTATTTTTTTACATTTTATTGTCAAACATAAAAGAAGGAATTTTAATCTGTTAAAATAGAGATTTTTGATGTGGACATTATTTACAGGTTTGTTTGTTTGTTTTTTAAGCGGTTGACAGTAAACGAATAGGTTTTTCTATTATTTTATTAGTTAAAAAAAAACAAAGCAGGGAATAAAGTAATTGACCATTTTTGTGCTGATTTTAAATGTGGTAAAAAATAATGTCATATTATGTTAAACAGTTTTTTGTTTTTTTTAAGTATGAATCAAAATTTTTTATTTATTTATTTATTTTTTTTACAGTTTTTCCATGTGGACTCTATTTACAGTTTCTATTTCTTTTTCTTTTAGCCAAGCATGGAATAAGGTTCTATAGGATTTTTTTCAGTCTTTACATGTAAAATAGTAATAATAATTTGTGAAATCAGTGTTTTTCTTTCTCAGATTAGTAACAAATTTTCCATCTGCAAAAAACTTTCTTAAAGTTACATTTGCAAATTACTGTTTATTCATTAATTACGTTTTCCTGTTATTTTATTGGATTTTTTAAAAATAATTTAACATTTTACATTTTTTTCCTGTTATTTTATGCAAAAAACAAGTGAAATAACTGTAAATTGTTTAAAAAAAAAAATCTTTTTTTTACAGTGTACTTCAAAACTGTTCCAGTCAAATGTATTTCGAACAAATAGCCTTTTTTATTTAAAACAAAAAAAAACTAAATTCTCTCTCTCTCCCNTTAATATTATTTAATGTAATATATGAATAAATAATACTATAATTAATCAAACAGGGAAATTTGTAAAACAGCAATTAAAGTTATTTACCATTTTTCAATTAATACATAATTTTAAAAAAGAATATCTGTAAATATATATATTGCCAATTTTATTTATTTTTATTATTGTATTTTTTTTGCATTTTATCGACAAACATTATAAAAGAAGGAATTAAGGAATTGCAATCTGTAAAAACAGAGATTTTTGACAGTAAACTCATAGGTTTTTCTATGATTTTGTGAGTTTAAAAAAACAAAGCAGGGAATAAAGTAATTGACCATTTTTCAATATTTAATTTGTCTTTTAAAAATAGTCAATATCTGTAAAATTGCTTTTTTTTTGCTGATTTTAAATGTAATAAAAATAATGTCATATTGTGTTGAACAGAGTATGAATCAAAATTTATCTTAAAAAAAAAATACAGTTTTTCCATGTGGATTCTATTTTGGATTACTAACAAATTGTCATCTGCAAAAAACTTTCTCACAGTTACATTTGCAAATTACTGTTTATTCATTAATTATGTTTTTCTGTTATTTTATTAGA